GGTAGATCTTTTTTTTACTTTAATTTCTCTTTTTTTTTGTATTGCATTGATTTTTTCTTAATTTTTTATTGATAGGTTGCGAAAAAAGTTTTACGCGACCGGACTCATTAACAAAGGTACCTTTTGCTAATTTAATTTTTGTTATTTAATTCAGGTGACCATTTCTTTTCATTAAATTATTCGTACATTATTATAGCATATGAAGAGCCAGCACGTAGATCCACGAAAGAAACGTATCATGGAAGAAGGTCAAAAAACGTATAAAAAACGAAAATTGTCAACGTCTCCGGAAGATGATGATGAATCATATACTTCTCATAGTCTTCAATCTAGTAGACAACCGCGTTTAAATAATAATCAACACAACATTTCATCACGGCAGAGATTGAATTCTTCTCGTCAACCTTCTGAAAAACCAAGACAACAATCATCTTCACGTCAACATTCTGAAAATTCTTATCCAAATCGTAATTACACATCGGATGATGATACTTCGGTATCTGAAGTTTCAGATGTATCTTCAACTGATGATGATAAATCTTTTTACGAGAAGTATCTTGTTTTAAAAGCTAAACATAGATATATTCGAAGAGAAAATGAATTGCTTTTAGATGAATACCAATCTACCAAGAAGAAATTGAAAAGACTAAGAACAGAAAAAGACATTCTTTTAGACGCTGTTGTGGCTCAGGATGGTGATGGTTAATTCGTGGTTGTGTTTGCATTTTACATGTGCAAATATATAATCTATATATACATCATTGTACATAAAAGTTTTTACTAATAGGATTGAGGAATTTGATAAAATTATTTGTAAGCTTTTCTGGCGTAACAATAAATCGTTCGATCCTCTCCTAATTTTTTTTTTTTTCCTTTTTTTTTTTCTGTATTATAATTCATAATTACATTACTGACTATTAATTTTTTGCGACAACAAGTATCTGGCTTAAAAAATATATATGAGAGACTATCTGACAGAAAAATATACCAGTTTAAATGAAGTA